TCAAGATGAAAAATATGAATAAAAGCAGCCTTAATTAAGAAGTACATTTCTGTCCTTGGAGATATTTTTATATTTTTACTTTGTTATATAATTGATTATTGAGTTACCCAGTATTACAATATTGATACTTTTGTGATATATTTTGCCTCTGTAGTGGAAAGACGGCTTCAAAAACCACTTCTGATCTTTGCTCTTATCTCTGAAATGATTCCTAACAAGAACTTGAAGCTGCTAAATGAACAGTTAGCCTCCCCCTCCCACTGGGGCCATGCATGTGAGTATTGTTATGCAAATGTTACGTTTTCTCCCATACAAAGCGGAGGTGGAGTCTTGTGACCAGGGCATCTTAAGTAAAAGATAAATGACTGCCTTCTTCTAACCTCAAAGACCCACTGATCTTTTTGTGCAATAGAATTAGGAAGGGGTGTCTCTCTCTTTCTCTCTCAGCATAATTGCGCAGTTGCAGTTTTTGCCACTTAATACGAGAGACTTCTCATTCTCACGTTCCTTTAGTGCACTTCCAAATCCTGCCAGATTTCTTCATTGCAAGAGTAACACCTTTTTACTCCTCTCTTCAGTTTCTTTTTTATTTCCTATCCTGGCTTTGTCACATTCATTTGAATTCATGAGCTGAAAATGAGCCAACTATTACAGAAGTTAGCACGATAACAAATTTTTAAGCACGATGTATTGCTGCGAATATATACTACGATAAACGATAGTATTGAGACTATTTTATGCTGCTGACACAATAAAAATAATGTAGAATAATTCCAGTAAACCAGTTTTAAACAGACAGTAGCATTACAAGGCCTGAGCTGCAACAAATATGTAGTAGAATTAATCAGTAATTAACCAGTAATTAGCTCTTTCAACCTTTTACAGCTCAAATTGTATCGTTTTACAATAAAAATACCCCATATCTCCTCACTTTTAGATAGAAAATGTATACCCGGGTAGTGCCCGGGTCTTAAAAGTGGACCATATAACTTTTCTGGTGGAGGGTTCACTGCCTCTTTGCTTTCATAGAGATGCTATTTCTTTGCTTGGAATAATCCACAATATGACTTTAACCTTATATGGCTCCATATAGACAAGCAGGTGAGACTAAGTCAAGTTACAGGTCAGATCTGTGTAGAGGCAAACCCGATCATAGTCAGAATAGATATTTGTGATTGATTTGTTGCAAGATAGATTTTAATACTGTACTGTAAATCCTTCCAGCTAAAATATCTCTATGGAGACAAGGAAGAAGCCACCCATAAAAAATAAATGTTACATAGTGCAAAAAAATTTTCAGTTGTTACTTCTTTGCTTTATACAGTTAAAACAGCTTGTAAATAGTAGTTTAAGATCTTGATAGAAATTGGTTTAAACTGAAGGAGATATACTTCTTAGCATCGCTATAGCAACCACTTTAGATTTAGCTGTTGCTTTTACAGAAATCTGTGGCTCAATGATGCATAGAAAATACAGTTCAAAATTGACAGTGAATAACTTATTTTTATTCTAGAGCAAAATATCAGCTGAGGTCTGCCAGACTCTGCACTTGTAATCTCATTCTAAGAGTTTTGAATGTTGTGTTTGTGCTCTTGGCAAGCAGCAGGAAAGATGTCTCACAATTGACTGTGATACAGATTTAGAGCCATAATAATGTAAGAGCTATTGTACGCGCTGGCCCTGTGTGTGCCCTGGGCAAGGAGAAATGCCACGCGCTCTTTAGAATTTCAAAATGTTACTGACTTGCATTGCCTTTTGAATCCACACTGACTAGAATTTATATTAACACTACATAAAATAACAACGACTGACATTTTTGGCCACTTTAGATCACCAATAATTAAAAAGCAATGCATCTTTCTACTTAAAGTGCATTTGACTGGTTAAAATAATTATATGCATAGTTTTTTTTTTAGTTTTTTTAAATTTTGGTTTAAATTTTTAATACTAATTTTACTTCCTGGCTGGACACAAGTGGATACCTACATAGATGTAATTCCATGACTGTGGCTAGTGGGTTAGCTATGTCCATTTACATATACAGTCATATGGTTTCTTCTCAACCTTTTCCCCACAACCCTGCACTGAATGTGAAACTGTAATGAATATTAACCACAGGTACTATCCCACAAAACCAAGTAATACTTTGAAAAACATGGAAACCTGTCATATGCACTTTAAGCTTTGGAAATTTGCTGGTTTCCCCTTCAAACATGGTATTAAAATTCACCGTGCAGTGTTGAAAATGATGCATAGATAAGGCCGGAGCAGCTCTTAGGGGGAAGAGTGGAGGTGGCTGATGGCTTTTGTGCTTGGGGATCAATTTTCCTGGGCTAATCTCCTGCCTGAGAACCACCCTCCTCTTGCCCCTCTTCGCTGCTGCCTCTGATGGATCGGCCATGCAAGCTGCTCTAGTCCATGGGTTCAACCTCCTCTTTTTCTTTCTCTCTTCCCCCTCTCTCACTCAAGAAATTTTCATTAATTAGTAATGGAGACTTTAAAGAAGCACATACTCTCTTCACTTGCAGATAAGGAGCAAAAGAGGGAAGTGGAGGAGAAAACCTTCTGGCCAGGCTCTGCACAATCCCCTGAGCGCTCGCGATCACATGGCATTAATCTTGCTTTTTAATGACCGACTGCTGCTCTAATTGCTTATACACAGAGATGAGAAACAGGGGGGCGACCACCTCCCAAATTGCCTGAGCTTTTAAGAAATACTTGTTTTTTATATAAGCTTTGCAGCATGTTTGTTCAACAGAGTTTTTTTTAACTTATAATACAAGTTTAGGATGTGACTTGTTAAAGGGCCTATTACGCCCTTTTCAGCAAACATACCTGGAGTTTTGTTTTGTTTTCGTTCACACATGTTTACCTCACAAAACCTGCATATTTAGGCTGACTTCTACTCTCAAACAGAAAACTCCATACATCTTCAGTAGAATCATTTGGATAATTTTAGACTCGGAATTGCTAATGTCTGCTAAATTAAACATAAAAGTAGGTAGCTGTTAACATGTGTGAATGAAACAAAACATAAACATTTTCATTCATTATAATGTGATTAGGTAACATTATAACATGGCTTAAATTGTTGCTTCTAAAGGT